TCACCACTGATACCTCGAATTAGAACATGAACATTATACCAACGTTTTCAGCAAGGACTGATCTTTCGATAAGTGAAATAACATTTTTGGGCCACACAAAATTTCAAGAGTTTGAGCGAGTAATGGAAGGGTCAAATTGCCCCAAAACGGCTGTTTACGCAAAGCGGCAAAATGAATGAATTGCCTTGAAAAATAGCCGATTATAATTTAAATATAATCTTGTTAGCTAAATAGATAGCAAAGCAATGTGAAATACTGCGAGGGGCATTTCACTCCAAAAAAGCGTACGGGATTTTCGGATTTTTAAAAATCCGCGGATTTTTTAGCGGATTTAGCGGATTTTTCCCGGATTTTTTAGCGGATTTTTGAAGAGAAAATTTGCTGGATTTTCCGGATTTGTTCGGATTTTTTCTGGATTTTTGAAAATCTGTTGGATTTTCCGGATTTATTTCGATTTTCCGGATTTGTTCGGATTTTTTCTGGATTTTTTTTAATTATAGAGTTATAGAGCTAGGTAACGTTTTGAACAAATAATCTTAAGTTGTACGATGTCAACGTTATGCCAGGACGTCAGGGTCGAGCAGAGGACTGGGACTAGGACCACAGCCTTCTGAAACTATTAACGAAGGCTGGGCATGCAGTCATTTTGTTTAAAATTCAAACAAGTTCATTATTCTTTCAAAAGCAGTAAAAGACAACGGTGAATAACTTTTGGTTTTGTAATTATATTTTACAACATAACGTCATTGTAACAAGAACACATATTTAGTAGTAATAGGCTAAAAAAACTTAGCGTATACTCCAGCGTATAAATGGAAATGTAGAGTGTCCAATAATTACGAAATATAATGACAGCCGAGCGATCACGGTAAGCGTTTAGCTTTCGCTGTCCGCCATTTTGAACGTGGCAAAGAACCTTTACGAGTAAATTACACCAAGTACTTCATATATTTTTTGTGGATTTGCGGATTTTTTAAGGATTTTGAAGGATTTCTGCGGATTTTTGAAGGATTTCTGTGGTTTTTAAAGGATTTTTTGGATTTTGATGGATTCAACGGATTTTGAGGATTTCATGGATTTTTTCTGGATTTTTCCCGGATTTTTTGACGAAGTGTACGGGATTTTTGGAGTGAATTGCCCCTCGAAATACTGTACATTAACTGAAGTTTGTGTCGTTCTTCAGCTTTTTAAGCGTCAATCGTAATATTATTTGAAGTCAAACGGCTGCAGTACACTAATGACTTGTGTAATAATGTCTACCTTTCTATGGCGAAATCTTCTTTTAGCGCTCTCCGTGGAACCCAATGAACTTTGAAAATGTTCTTATGACTTACAGTCGATTTTACATAACTTTTGTCAAATGTTCCGAACTTCTTTCTGATCACGAAGCTCATAAATTCGACTTAATTCGTTGCGAAGTTCAAAAGTTCGTAATACTGTAACATTCGCAAGCCAGTTTGTAAACAAAGCCTCTGATTGGCTTCTTTTAATGTTGTAGATTTATCTAGTTATCTATTGTGTTACCCAATAATTAATAAATAAAAGGTCAATAAGAGGAATTTTCAAGAAAGTGAAGTTAATATTCTGTAAAAACATGTGCGAGATACTGTACAATATATTAGCTAAAGTCAGTATCTTTCTTCAGCTTTTTATCCGCTAATCATAATATTATTCGAGGTCAAGTAACTGCAGTAACCCCAGTGATTTGTTTCTATTGGAAATCTTCTTTGAGCGTTTTCTGTGTATTCGAATGAACTTTGAAATGTTCTTATGACTTAATCAAAGTTTCCACGGCATCATTTTTACATACTGTGACTGGAAAAAAGCGACAAATTGCGATTTATGTTATGGGTTAAAAGTGACAGCGACATTTATTACAACAAAACAAGCGACCAAGCAGCTACAAAATAAGTGACAAGCGACCTGGGTTACACCCTTGGTGGGCCTCGTTAATGGGCCTTTATTAGGCCAATGAAAATTGATATCATGTTTCTCGTCCACAATTTTCAAAAATTCGGAGCGGGATTTTTTCATTTTTCATTTTTCATTATTTTTTGTGTTTGAATTCTGCTTATCAATAATTTCCTTGACTAGTCTAGGACCTGTATATGAGTTTGTATGCGATTCATTTAGGACAGGTAATCTCAACTGTTTTAGGGTAAAATGACCATGGCGGTCAACATGGCATATGTGCGAAAACCTGAATCCGGGGCAAAAGTCCTGAAAATGACCCCGCCCTGAAACGGCAGTGTCGACATAGCTCTAACTTCCAAAAAGGAAAAGCGATAGCCTTTCTGAAGTGCTTATAGTGTTTAGAAGGGTTGCTTTTAGGGGTGGTCATTGGAAGGAAAAATTTGTCGAAGTATAATATTTTACCAGAAAATGACTATGCACCACCCCAGGTAAATTGCTGATTATGCACAAAATAACTAATATGCCTGGCAGAAATTAAATATTCTTATTTCCTAAAAAAATTATCATGGGGTGAAAAACTATGCTTAATTTAATATAAATATTGTTGATTTCATAAGGATTGTCATTGTTTTCTTTAAATATAATACATTTTATTTCACTTACCCCCACGAAAACACGATTTCAGCCATATTTTGCCGTCTTGTTTGCTTTTTATCGCCGAATCTCGCAAATATCATCCAGTTATTGTACTTTTACATAATCATAAATAGCTGAAGAAGATTTCAAAGAAGGTTTCATCCACTTTTGTAACAGTGCAGTGTATTTTACCTTCGATATTGTGTCCTTCGATATTCCGCCAAATTGCCGCCATTTTAATGGCTCGCCGCTTCTCTGTCTGATAAATGCAACTTCTTCGTTTCCATATGTATTTAGATTACAGTGTCCAAGAGTACTTCATTGTAGAATAGTCCCAATCCAAAAATTGGCAACATTTGTCCTATTAGGAAGGAAAAATCCTCCCGTATACAGTATGTATTTAGATTACAGTGTCCAAGAGTACTTCATTGTAGAATAGTCCCAATCCAAAAATTGGCAACATTTGTCCCATTAGGAAGGAAAAATCCTCTCGTATACAATTTAGGTTCAAAATAAAAAACAAATCATTTGAAAGTCACGCGCAATCTTCGCGAAAACTTGTCGTGGACACATGACAGGGGGGGTTGAATATTTTCACGAATATGTTCGCCACCACAGAAACATAACTAAATATATTGTATTTATTGTATTTTTATGATATATGACAAAACTACGCAAATATTTATTGTTTTTATTATAAATCATAAAAATACAATAAATACAATATATTTAGTTATGTTTCTGTGGTGGCGAACATATTCGTGAAAATATTCAACCCCCCCTGTCATGTGTCCACGACATGTTTTCGCGAAGATTGCGCGTGACTTTCAAATGATTTGTTTTTTATTTTGAACCTAAATGGTATACGGGAGGATTTTTCCTTCCTAATGGGACAAATGTTGCCAATTTTTGGATTGGGACTATTCTACAATGAAGTACTCTTGGACACTGTAATCTAAATACATATGGAAACGAAGAAGTTGCATTTATCAGACAGAGAAGCGGCAAGCCATTAAAATGGCGGCAATTTGGCGGAATATCGAAGGACACAATATCGAAGGTAAAATACACTGCACTGTTACAAAAGTGGATGAAACCTTCTTTGAAATCTTCTTCAGCCATTTATGATTATGTAAAAGTACAATAACTGGATGATATTTGCGAGATTCGGCGATAAAAAGCAAACAAGACGGCAAAATATGGCTGAAATCGTGTTTTTGTGGGGGGTATTAAGTGAAATAAAATGTATTATATTTAAAGAAAACAATGACAATCCTTATGAAATCAACAATATTTATATTAAATTAAGCATAGTTTTTCACCCCATGATTTTTTTTTAGGAAATAAGAATATTTAATTTCTGCCAGGCATATTAGTTATTTTGTGCATAATCAGCAATTTACCTGGGGTGGTGCACAGTCATTTTCTGGTAAAATATTATACTTTTCCTTCCAATGACCACCCCTAAAAGCAACCCTTCTAAACACTATAAGCACTTCAGAAAGGCTATCGCTTTTCCTTTTCAGAAGTTAGAGCTATGTCGACACTGCCGTTTCAGGGCGGGGTCATTTTCAGGACTTTCGTCCCGGATTCAGGTTTTCGCACATATGCCATGTTGACCGCCATGGTCATTTTACCCTTAAACAGTTGAGATTACCTGTCCTAAATGAATCGCATACAAGCTCATATACAGGTCCTAGACTATACAGGGTGCATCAAAAAAAGGTAATCGAACTTCATCGCGCTTCATGACTGAAATTTTCAGATTAGCCATGAACATGATCTATTGTAGTAATTTCACACATCTAATTGCTTCGAATGCATGGGACAAAATAACTCAAAGAATATGTTCCAAATAAGTATAAATATTCTTCAGACCTGCAGAATCAATAAAATGGGCACGTTTGCCACAGAATAAAGAAAGAAACAGAAGCGACAATTGAGTCGGAACCTTTGAAGTTTGTGGCCCATGCATCACGTATGTTGGCTGCATTTTCCTAGTCAGTCGATTACATTTTCTGGCCAATAAACACGCTGTACTGGCTGGCTGCTCTGCCTTCTAGCCATTAAATTGCATAATTTTGCATAGACATGTTGCAAAGTTGTGGCCCTTCTGTTCCCTTCTTCATTTTCTGACGTTTACTGTAGAGTTATGCCTTATGGCTAATATGGATTTCTTGGGTATCAATATGTCCCCTTATACCTGCGCGGCCTAATCCCCTTAAACAGGAGACCGAAATTGACGCCAAAAAATGCTTTCAATTTTCGCTATGTTTGGCCTCACTCTTTGAGCTGGAGTCAGCTTTCTGTGTATACAGTTCAGTGGGCAACAAGGAGGGAAGGGGCGTTTTTTACACACTGTGCAGTTCATTGATATCAAATAAATTTGTAATATATTAGTGTCAAAACATATGAGGGAACTGTTGGCTATTGGCGTATTTAGCTCGACATTACAACATACCTTCGGGTAGTGTGTTTTCCTTTAAGTACACACTTTTCTTTTGATCTTCAGTGTTGTGTACTATTGGACCCATCAAAGCTGATGGCATAATTGGTGGTACAACAGACACTGGTATCTGGATATTTTCCGTGCATCTTGTGAATACCGTCCTTTCCAACCATCTTCTCTTTAACATATTTTTAAATGCATCAGTAGTTTTAACTTGGGAAGGAAGAGTTGCACTGTCAGATTTGACATAATCAATCTAGAAAAGTGAATGGTTACTTTGTACATTTGAGTGTCAACATTTCTCGCTGGGGCATCTGTGCCCAGGTTGTATATAGGTTTTGGCATGCATTTTTCACGGATCGGCAATAGTGGATCTCCGATCTCCAATCGTCGTCGATAGGCACAAAATAGAATATGAGCTGCCTAGTAAAAGTATAAAACCCAATATATCCTTTTCAAAATGGTGGCCTTTCGTGGAGTGTCCAAAATGTTTCAAACAATTTCGTTAAAATTTTCAACGAATTGTACCTGTTTTCTATGTATGTATCATCATTATTGTTGTGCGTACTACAGTAGCTTGTATAGCCCCAGCAAGTTAACGCTCTATAGAGCGTCTTGTTAATTTAGGTTAAGTGTATGCTGTGTCTGTACCTGTTTGTTAGTGCAACAGTTTTTTTCATTTCCATCACCAAGAATAACCTCGGGGCAAATTCCACAAATCCCACAAATGACGGTGTTCAAGTCCCCCTCGGTAATCGCTTCAAAGTAATAATAGCCATTGTAAAGGCATTTCTTCAAATAATGCAGCTGGTTCTCAGATGGCAGATTCGCCTGAAATTAACAATTATGTATGATTATGCACGTGCAAATAGTAGCATTTTTCAGAAAGAATTGGAACAGGCAAAGTTATAAAAATAAAAATGCTGGTGTTTTAAGCAAGAAATGCATGTGTGAATTAAACGTTTTACTATATAAAAGTATACAGAAATATATATGGTTGCTCGCGTGGAAATCTCATCGATTATAGATATCCAAAAGACCTTTTCGGTAATAACGTCATGTGGTGTTGGCCTGAGAGCCTCGCTCTCATTAATCGTGAGTTGATTAAGTACCACGACTTTATACTTGTAATGAAGTGAGTCTCCCAGGCCAAGTAGCATACATGTCGTTATTATCCAATGGGTCTATTCAATAGTGGAAATACATTTTATATTTCCTCGCACCATTGTATCATTCTTTATATTTAAAATATTCAATAATTCACGAGGAAAATACCAAAGAAATGAATGTTTAATCAATGTTTGTAAATCGGATACAGATTTGTCCTGATTTACATAAACTTCAGCTTTGATTTTCTCGGCTTAGACAATGTTTATTTTTAAAATTACTTCGCGAATGAACTCATAAAATGGGTAATTTTTTAAGTACGATAAAACATTCGCATCCGGTCTGTATCTGATATACAAACTCGAGCCAAAGGGGCGAAGGCGAGAGTTTGTATATCAGATACAGATGGGCTGCTCATGTTTTATCTAGTACGTATTAAATAGACTATTATTATTTGTCAAGACCTGGTATCAATGCTAGCGCTGTCACTGTATTTATGTTCTCCATAGGTCATATACAGTGCAGTTAACAGGTACACTGTCACTCACCTGTTGTGCCTTCAATTTGAGAGAATCTAATTTGGCGTCGATGATGTTGGTTATGGCATATCCGCGTTTGAAAAATAGTCTCATTTCCAGCAATATATCCAAAGAAATGACGATTTTATCACATATATTGAATAAGCCTATAAGTGGAAAGCAGACATGAATTTT